TCTCATTATTCATATATTGTAATTGCAACCTATCACTTAGATTTTAGAGAATAAAACAAGAGTCGATATTGCAACCGCCTCTTGAATTTTAAGTTCAGAACCTGCGAGCGTGACAATCCATGGCGTCGTCTTCATTTAAACCCATTATATGTTGAATTTTAATTGAATTAATCTGATTTAAAACAAATCATAAACGAGAAACATATATTTATTAGTTATTTATACAAATAATTTGTATCTATTTATTTTTAAAAATATCTATATATATATATATAAAAGATCACATTTATCTATCATATACAACAAATAAATTATTTTATCTTTCAACATAATAATTATAAATCTAAAATCCTCGAACAACTATGGGTGTGATTGTTTTATGAGATAATTTAATGAGAAATTTTTGTATGTGAGATATGAAAAATTGTATAGAGAATCATATTATATATATATTTGACAAGACACTTTATACTCTCATAATTTTGGAAGTTTTTTTTAAAAATTTCTATATTGTTTTGTTTGGATAATTTATAAAATTGTTATATTTTTAAAAATTATTTTGGATAAAATTATAATTTGTTGGAATAACAAATATATATATATATATAAATTAGGGTTTGATGATATGTCATATGTTGCCTATTTGGACTAGGTTTTAATTTTATATATATTTACCTGAGCAACCATGAAATGTGATAAAAAAGATGCAGAACAAGAATCACACACCGGGCCTCCAGATGTCTCACGCAAATTGGTTGATGCTTTCATTTTGGTTGTTGTTTTGAGTTATTTAATTTGGGTTTTTTTTGTTATACTTTGTATTTGGATTTTCATTTTTTTAAAAAATTTGATTCTTGCCGACTTTTTCAATGGATATAAGAATGTATCTTGAACTACGTAATATCGAGTTTATATTAAATTTGAATTCAAGAATTTCATATTTTACCTATAAAATTAACAATAAGTTTGTTTGCATTATGAGATTAGATTTAAAATTTCAACTATATATATTTTATTTTTTAATATTTTTGGTGTAAGTTTTTTTTTTTTTTTTTTTTGTTATGGCGATAGTGTTAATGTTACCAAAGAACTACCATAAGGAAGATGCATGTTGCATCATATTGTTCTTCAAGTCAGCCTCCGATTTATCCAAATTACATGTACAAGAAGATATATATATATTTGAAAAAATATTCTAATGTCAAATTCATTACCTTGAGTTGAACCAGGTAGGTAATAATTTTATTTTTTTAATGTTGAATTTAGATCATTTGTAAAATTATTTTTTTTTACAGAAAAAAAAATATTTTGAATAGAATTATGATTTGTTGCTATGATATATATATATATATATCTATAGGCTTAGGGTTTGTTGTATTAGATTAAATTTTAATTATATATATAATTCACATGATACAAAAATATACAATTGCAAATCAGTCTATTGCCGAAGATTGTCCATACTGAATCCAACCTTCAATTTTTCTTTCTCTTTCTTTCCTTCGTCTCTTTTTGTGTTCTTTTTCGATTTGTTTTAATTTTTTTTATTCTTACTTCTTCTTTAAATTTGGTAAAGTCTTGAAGATAAAGAAAAAAAATTAAAGAAGAAAAGAAAAAATGAGAGGGAAGAAGAAAGAAAGATGTGTATGACGGCTGCAATTGGAACATAAGAGTGGGTTTAGAGATAATGATCGGGTTGGGTCCAGTGTGTGGTAGGCACGCCAATTTTTATTTTAGATTTTTAATTTTTTATTGAATAAATTGATATTCATATATATATATATATTTATTTCAAATCATTTGAATATTTTTTGCATCATCTTTTCTTGTAATATTATTTTATTGGTTATTATTAATATTTTTTATTATATTTATTGTAGTTAACACTTTTTTTCCTAATATTGCAAATAGGAAGGTGTGTAAAAGTAGAAGCCACAATAACTGTGCATAGAGGCTTCAAAAGGTTAATGGTGTTTTTTTTTTTTTTTTTTTTTTTTTTTTTTTTCATGTATTTGAATATTTTATTATATATTTATCACATATTTTATAATAATAATAATATTTGACATATTTTGTTTAATTTTATAAATTTATTTTTTATTGTATAGAATATATTTTACTTATTATTGATGTTTTATATAGATATATATGTATATATATTATATCATGTCTTATTATTATACTTCATATTTGACCAATATTTTGTTGAATGTATATATTGCTTTTTCTTTTTTCTTTTTTTCTTTCTATTCAATTATTTTATCTTCAAAATTTGTTTTTGAAAAAAAATCAATTTTAGAAATCATCACTAATGTAATTTTTATGTTATGATCATAGTAACAATAATTAAACATTAAGGTCTCTATAGTTACATGCATTACATATAACTTATGCAGTGAAGCAGCTAAAAAAATAATAATGTACATTATGTTTGAGTTTTATTCTTGAGATTTGTTTGTTTATTGTTTTTATTTGAATTTTTATTTTTATTTTTATTTTTTATGTAAGGCCATACGAAATTGTGTTGATAATATAAAAAATAATATTATATGTTTAATGTTAATTTGTGTGAGAGAATAAAATATTATTGGAGAAAATTTATATACTTGAGGATGATTGAGCATTCGGTTTATTGTTTCTATTTATCTTTTAAAAGAATTTCTATCAAGTACCAACAGGCAATATGAGAAAAAAATACAATTAAAAAACACAATTAATTTAATCCAATATTGATAAAAACTTCACGTATTTATAATAAAAACACAATTAATTTAATCCAATTAATTTTTATTTATTATTTTTAACTTACACACATTTAATTTTTTGAGGCTCTTTGTTTGAACTCCTATGTTGAAGGATGTCACTATTTGGCTATAGTTAAATTGATATATATTTTTATTTTTATTTGATTATTTAGTTTTATATTTGTTATATTTTATGTATTTGTTATGATTAAATAGTAAATATTTGTTTTATTTTTTCATGCTTTGTATTTCTTTTCAATATTATTTTTATATATTAAGTATATAAATTTTTTTAAAAATATTGCATATAGTTAAGTTATACTACATATAAATTCAATATTACTATTAATTGATAAAAAAATTCAATAAATTATATTTGTGTTAGTTTAAAGTAATTTAATTTTTTAAATTTGATAATTATGTTACTGTTAATGCAAATTAATGTATTTTTTAAAATATATTAAAATAATAAAAAACTTTAGCAATAGATTTATCTTAAAATTTTAAAATATCAACTAAAATATTAATATACCAATTATACATGAAAATTTAAAAATATTTACGGTTTTTATATTATTAAAGACAAATAAAATATACTATTATGTGAAAATTAAAATTAAAATTTATTATATTATGATTTATTTTCTATCTCTTAAGCTTTTTATATATTGATTTATGCATATAATTTATTTTTTATTTTTTTTTATGAATCGATTTAAAATACTCTCATATCTAAGTTTAAACATATACTATAATATATTATTATTAAAAGAAAATTTATTATTTATAATTTAAAATTAAATTAAATATTATACTTAATAATTTGTAATATACTAATATGGATTATATGCTAGTATAAACATAATAAATACGTGTAATATATTAATATTTTAAATAAACTTGTATTTTTATTATTTTTTTTTGTTAAAAGAATGAATCCTATAATTTCAAAATTCTTATTTGTAAATTTCAAACCAAAAATTCACACAGGGTGTGGTTATTTGAAGGGTTTTTCTTTATTATTTTTTTAATAAGTGGTATTATTAGTAATTTATAATAAAAATTAATATATATAATTAAAAAAATTATAATATATTTAAATATTTTAAAAAATATATTTCAATAAAATATATACAACAGGAATATAATTTTATATAGAATAAACTTTTATAAAGTATAAAATACTCCATTTGTCATTTGTATTTTTCTTTTTGAATTGTCATAAAAAATATTCTTATTTCCTTTTAAATAAAAAATCATTATATTTTTGTATTTTTTTTACTATATAAGAAAAAAAAGTAACAATTATTAGTCATTTTTATTAAATCTCATATCCGGTCAAATGAGCACGCGTTTAACGGATGGAGTATTTATTTATAATTAACCTAAACTAATTTTATAAAAGAGTTTCAAATATAGATAAAAATATTTGTTTATTAAAAAGAAATAAAAATAAAAATGAATATAATTTTTTAAGTATATGTTAGAGTGATTAATTATTATAAATTAAATTATTTACACATGACATATTTAATTTTAAGATAAATTACATAAAATATATTTATGTTTTATTGTAAGCATATACAATACCTTAATTTTTTATTTTTTTATTATTTTTTTTTGTGAAATATTTTGTATTATATTAAAGTAAGGACAAAATACTTATGTTGTTATTCATAAATCCGCATCTAATTATGCAATTATTATACAAATAAATTTGATAAAATATTTAAGGAAAAAGAAAAAATTAATCAATCTTTAGTTTTTATAATTTGTAAAATAAAAACGAACCATGACTTAATTTTTTTGAAAAGCATGCCACAGATTTATTTGATTGTAGTTTGAAATGAGACGTTAATATAATATTTTGTAAAAAAAAAAAGTATATTTTTATTAAAAACTGTTTTAATGTTAAGTGAATATAATTGATTTTAATTTGAAATTATAAAATAACACATCTGTAATAAAAAAAATAAAAAATAAAAATTCCAGTTTTAAAAGTTTAAAATTTTCTAATAATAATAAAAACTGATATTTAATATAATGATTTATTTGGGAAAATAAATATTTTATTGTATAATTTTTAAAAAATAATGTCAAAAGTTCTAAACCGTCTTGATTTTTATAAATTATAAATGTTCTTTAAACAATAATTATGTAGAAAATATATAGAAATGCTAAAATAATTGAAAATAAACTTTCAAAGGGAGAGCAGCCAGGCTTGATGACTTGTTCCATCTGAGCCGTCCATTTTCTGCTTGAAAATCTGGACCGTCGATATGTTCGACCGGTCCTCTTCGCCACACGCTTCTCGATTGGTAATCACTCTCTCAGTTACGGAGAGATTCATTTGAGAGTCTGGGCTTCTTCAAGCATTTCCACTTTTTGTTCTTGAATCTTCAAGGCGAACAGAATGAGTAAGCTTTCTATATGTGTTTCTCTGATCTTTTAGTTTAGTTTATGTGTTGTGTATTTTTCTTATCTTTCGACGGCGTGGCTTGATTTTTGTCTGGGTTTAAGAATTGGTTTTTGTGATTACGAACAGTGACGATTCACCTGCTAGGGTTTTGGAGTGCAATTCGGTGTTGGATTTTTGTTGGAACTAACTGTGTATGGTTGAATTTCAGGATTTGTGAAGTTCAACAGATTTATTGCTCAATTTATTCGCCCAAGTGTGGTGAATGAGCCTGGGATTGCCGCTGCCGAAATTAAGGTGTTGTAATTCACTTTTACGTTAAAGCAATTCAATTTTGGTTGCTTGATGGACCGGAAAGATAAGCGCGACTTAAGTCATTTCTAGGTTAAATTAAGACAAATGTCCCCTTTTTGCGGATAGAGCTGAGAGTTCGTTCTTATTTCTAAATTAACAAACTCAAACTAAAACTTATTAAAATGAGAGTTCTGAAAGATGATTAGTGTATATATATATATGTATGTATATGTTTATTAACATTATATGTATGTATAACACTATATTTACAGGCTTCTATTTCAATTTATACCGAGTAACGATATTTTCTTGGTGGCTTGATTTTGAATCTTCTAAGCATCTTTAAGAATGTTATTATGAAATTTAAGTCCTGAATTGAAGGGTGCATTAAAGCCTTCCACTTTTTATGATATGCTTCTATGTGTTTGGTAGAATTAACTTGCAAGGAGCATGGAAATAAAACTGTGAAATTTTAGTTTAGCTATTGCCTGATTGGAAGCATCCTTATCGAATTGCATAAAAATTATTTGGATATTTGGTTATGATGAAAGAAGACATAGAACACACAACATAAACACATTATATGCTGTCTCCTTCACCCATAATACAGTATATGTGTATGGGTGCGCTTTTCTTGTCATCCATCTTAGTTCGTAGTTTGAATCTTCAAATAGCTGCTTCCAATGGCTTTTAAAATTTAGAGGCTGTTGTAACTTAACTGTCACAGGTGAACAAGTGAAAATCGTTAACAAAGACAAAGCTATCTTGGTTTGCTTGCTTGTATTTATGTATCTGTAGAAGGTTGTCGCCATGTTTTACCTGATTGAAAAGTAAATTCTACAGTTCCAAAGTCTAATTATTTAACTTAATATTCAAGTAAAAAGCCTCTTGTTCTGATTGATTAAGTTGCTGCTAGAATCAAATATCCTCGCAAAAATGTGCAATTACAAAGCTTTGATACCTTAAAGATTTCAGCGTGGGGATCTCACCCCTTTCTTAACGTTACTTTCAACCTATCTTTCAGTCTTTGCCTAAACTTCTCCCAAAGCATGGCCAGGAAAGATATGGTTCTACTGGCTCGGAATTCCTCCGGACATTTTTATTTTCTGCTGCTGGAGCATCAGGGCTTCTGAGCTGTACAGCAATCGCTTATGCATCTGACGAGGCTGAGCATGGATTAGAGTCCCCTAACTACCCATGGCCTCACAAAGGGATCCTTAATTCCTATGACCATGCTTCGTAAGTATAATGAATCCTTTCCCGATTGTAGGGCAGTTTTGTTTGTAATATTGAACTTTGTTACAATAATTTTTTCTAGCTCGTATAGTGGGTTACAAAATGTCGACCTTCATTTTCATGCACTAGCTCTATACTAATTTGTCTTAAGATTGCTGATTATTATTTAATGCTACGATGCAACTTTTACTTACTACCTCATTTCTGCATTCAGGATTCGTCGTGGCCACCAGGTTTATCAACAAGTTTGTGCATCATGCCACTCAATGTCACTCATTTCTTATCGTGATCTTGTTGGGGTGGCGTACACAGAAGAAGAAACTAAAGCCATGGCTGCAGAGATTGAAGTAAGTGATGGGCCAAACGACGAGGGCGAGATGTATACCCGTCCAGGAAAGCTGAGCGACCGATTCCCTGAACCTTATGCAAATGAACAAGCTGCTAGGTTTGCAAATGGAGGAGCATATCCTCCTGATTTAAGCCTTATAACAAAGGTAGTCTCGAACTTGTAAATTCAGAATATCAAATTATATATCTTCAATTGTTAACAATTTTTTCTCTCAGGCCCGCCATAACGGTCAGAATTATGTTTTTGCTCTTCTAACTGGCTACCGTGATCCCCCTGCTGGAGTCACGGTAATTTCTATCTTTTGTTATCCAAGTTAATCATCGGTATAAATGTTGCGCTGAAGTAAACTGATTAATTGCATATTTGAATAATATATAACAGATTAGAGACGGGCTTCACTATAATCCTTACTTCCCCGGTGGAGCAATTGCCATGCCTAAAATGCTTAATGACGGTGCTGTGGAGTATGAAGATGGCACCCCAGCAACAGAAGCACAGGTATCAAGTTCTTCGGTTGTCTTCTGAATCGTGACTTAATACAAGTGATAATAATTAATACTTTCTCCGTCCCAAACACCCTGCAACATTTCCTTTTTTGTTTGTCCCAAACTCACTGCAACATTTCCAAATTTAGAAATAATTAATAATATTTTTATACATATATTAATATACACTTCACTTTATCCCATCACATCACTCAAATAAAAAAAACAAATAATAATTTTTTTCTCCAATCACATCACTTAATATCCAAATTATCTCAAATTACCATATTTAAGACTCCCACCTAAATTTCCGTACCAAATACAAATGTTGCACGGTGTTTGGGACGGAGGGAGTACATGCGTGCATACGATGTATCTTTAAACATTATTATCTTCGCTGTACAGATGGGCAAAGATGTTGTAAGCTTTTTGTCGTGGGCTGCCGAACCCGAAATGGAAGAGCGAAAACTGGTACATTTTCTCTACTCCCACACACCTCTACACAACGGATTTTGATGCTTTTACATTATGATTTTATTTTACTTATTGAATATGAAGGTCACTTTGTGATTTTACAGTCATTAATTCCTACATCATCTATTTTGTTTAGAAAATGTGTGTTTGTTTGTGTTCACTTTTTTTTCTTTTTTTTTTTTGTCTGTCACCTAAAAATATTTTCATTTTCATATTTAGTAAAGAATTATACTACTTTTTGTATTTCTTTTATTACAAAAGGCAAAAAGTACACACTGTATTAAAACCCGTGCCCAGAAGTTTGAGCACATTTTTTTTGTGACGAAGGCAGTATAAAATAAATGTTGGATGCTACTCCCTCCGTCCCAAAATAATAGAAAATTGACATGAGAATTAAAGAATAATAGTATTATATTGATAATGGATGTAAAAGTGTTTCTAGAAGACCAAAATACCCTTATTTCGTGTAATTATTGTGAAAAAGTGGAGATAGTTTTGTAAAAAAGTGGGAAGTTAGTTACCAAAAATGGAAATTGGACTATTGTTTTGGGGACCGAAGAAAATGGTAAAATAAGACTATTGTTTTGACACCTAGGGAGTATAATTCATGAGAGGGGAAATATTTTACTGTCAATTTCATAATGCTAGAACAACATCGAAAAAACACAAACACACATATTTACTAGATATAGAATAATGAAGTCTAAGAAATGGGTTTTTAGCCGAGGAATCCCAAGATACAAATGAATGTGTTGAAATTATGTTGTCATTTTTTCGGTACTTTTTCTATCTTTTGGCAAGACGTATGTGTCTAATATTTTGCACGGATGGATGGCAGATGGGATTCAAATGGATATTAGTTTTGTCGCTGGCGCTACTTCAAGCCGGGTATTACCGGCGGTTGAAGTGGTCGGTGTTCAAGTCCCGGAAGTTGGTGCTGGATGTAGTCAATTGAGTGAATGACACCTTAAAGGTATGGTATTATTCCCATCCCATATGTTAAACGTGAGAAATTATGTATAAGATGATGATACCTGAGGATAATCCTTTTGTATGCACTATGCATGCATGTTAATGTTACTACTTATTGTATTGTACGATGATGTTTCTTGTGTGATGTTGAGTTGTGGAAACAAATAAGGTATGATGAATGGATGGCTCGATGTTATATTGTTGTTGTTTTGTGTATATTTCTATTATTATTATTATTATTATTATTATTATTAAAAATATTAGGAATGACAATGAGTCGGATAAATTTGAGATCCAACTTGGATTGTATTCGACCCATTTATTTGGGTTTGAGTTCAATTATTTGGATATTATATTTGATATTAAATTTGTGTATATACATATATGGTTGTGATTAGTCTCTTGTAATGTGTACACTTCACAACTAAACTAGATCTTATCAAAATTGAATTTTTATAAATTAATTAAATTATAAAGAAGAAGAAGTAATGTGGTGGAGTGTAAGTGTTACCGCCCATGTGAGGCTAAAATTGGAAAATTACTTCAATTTAATTAATTGGTACAAATAATGGATATATTTAATGCATAATCATGTGCACTAATACGGATACCCAAAAAAACTCATTTAAATATTTTTATTGTACTTATTGATATAATTATTTATTGGTTTCGATCTTTAAATATATATATATATATATTCTGCTATTGATTTTTAATATGGGAGCCCAATTTACTAGTTATTAAGGCCCATCCCATTTTGATCTTTGACTTACTAAAAATATTTGGTTGTGAGTTTAATTATAACTTTTCTTAAGGGAAAAATTACTTGTAAAATATTGAAACTATTGCATATTTTTATTACAAACAGCATATATTGTTTGTTGCTTTTAATAAAGATATACTACGTAAGAATATGTCACGTGCTAGGATCAACTGTCATATGTTGTGTTGTATTTGTATTATATTAATATAAATTATGTGTTGTACTTAATATTATTGTGTGTTGTTTTACTTGATCATTTTTTTCAGTAAAAATATCAACTTGAATATTTCTTTTTTCTTTTTTCTTTATAATATTAAATTAAATTTTTTTAGTTATTTATAATATTATATCAATGTCTATTTTTAAGATAAAACACTTATAATTTTTTATTTTTATCTCTATTTTAAATAAATAAATATTTTTTTATATAAATTTACATTTTCTTATTTTATATAAATAAATTTATAGTAATCATATATGAATATATGTATCATGTTGTGTATTATATAAAATTAAAAATAACATTTATATTGCATGGACTTTAATTATAGATTCTTAATCATTCAAAATTTATTTTTAGTTATATATATTACATTATAATTCAATTTCCAATTAATAAACGATAAATAAGACGTCCTAAATTAATTATAAACTTAAAACACGCAGCAACGAAAACGCATGGGGTTGTATGATTTTTTTTTTAATATTTTATATTGAATTATTAATTTTTTAAATAAATAAAATATATATTATATTGTATTAATATATTTATATATTACATTTTTATAATATTTATAGGAAATCACTTTGGTTAACAAACCTAATATTTTAATATAATATTCATTCGTCTCATAAGAATAGTCTAATTTGAGTAAGTTCAATCCGTGAGCTATTTGAATATTAATAATTATATTTAAATATAAAAAAATATAATATAAAAATATTTTTAATGTTAAATATAACAACGCAAAAGATAATACTAATATAAACTTATTAAGTGAATAAAAGAAATATTATATCTTAATTTATTACAAAAATCCCAAAAACCTTATTGAAATGGGACAAAAGATTATTAATTTCAATTTTGGTAACAAAACAAACATAATACTCCATTCCTCTAAGAATCTGATTGCACTCAAATACAGCAATACTCATCTCAGCTGATTCCAGAAAACTCTAATTTAAAAAAAATCAAAAATAATATTATTAAACGAAATTCCAATTTTGCCCTCACCGGCCCGACAGATCGGAGGCGAGCCGGGAGGCGATCGCCGAGTGGTACATGACGTCATGGAAATTGTAGGTCTGGATCGTCTTCCGCCGCAGCTCCTTAGCCTTCTCCTCCGTCAAGCAACCCCGGTACTGCTTCTTACCGCCCACGACCCGACCCGATTCCTCCTGATAATCCAGATCCGGTTCGATCCGGGCATTGCCGTTCACATAGTCGGGTTCCGAGGACCAGCCGAAGACCGGCGCCCACCAGCTGCTCCGCTGGGCTGCCGGCGGACTTTTCCGGCTACGAGATGCGGCGGCGGGGACGATCGGCGTGGGGAATGCGGAAAATGCGGCCGCCATTGATGAAATTGATGAGCGGATTGGATTGTTAGGGTTTGCTTGTGTCGATGGATTTGGGGACTGACGGAGAAAGGAAGGATTTAATAAAAGTAGAATTTGTTACTAAGGACGCGGAAATGGATAGGGAGTTTGAATACGTCGTGTTAAATAATAATAATAAAAATAATAATAATTTGTCCACCAAATATAATTTTAATAAATATAATATTATATTAATTAAGTATAAAATAAAGTATTTTAAAAATATATATAAATTAATTAATAAAATATTTTTTAATAATTATAATAATTATGATATTTTTATAAATAAATTTCATAGTAAAAACTAAATTAAAATTTACATAAAAAATTATTTATAATAAATAAATAAATAAATAAATATATATATAAAAGAACATAAATTGAGGTATTGTTTATTTATTAATGGGTCGCCAACTTTTCTCTTTGGCATTGTTTTCGTAGGCACTGAAAACGACGTCGGTTTTGATCCGTATGAGATGACGTGGCACCGAGTCAGCTCCGATAAAAATTTCTCAGCACTACATTTTGAAAATGACGTAATATAGGATTTCTTTGAAGTTTGTTTGAAATTAATAATTTAATTGTTGTTTTTATTTAAATATTTTTTGTGTTCTAATCTAAAGTATATTTTTTTAAATTTTTTATTTGTTTTATTTAAAATTATTTATTTTTTTATTATAATAAAATTAATTATATATAAATATTAAAATATTTTTAATTTATAAATGTACAATTAACTTATATATAAAATTTAAAAATTAAAATATTAAAATATTTTAAAATATATTAATTAATAAAGTATTATTATTTTTAATTTATTATAAAGATTTTAACAAATACTTAAATGAAACGAACAAAATATTTTTTTTTAATGTAATACTCTCTTCGTTCCTTATTAATCTATCAATTTTTTTATTTTGGTATGTCTCATAACAAAGTATCCATTTTATTTTTTTTTAGTAATTGTAATATTTACCTAACATTACAAATACTCTTCCAATTTACAATATATTATACAAATGTCATTATTTTTTATCATACAATAAACAAATGAATATATAGATATGGTACAGAGGAAGTATATTATAATAAAATATATGATAATTTCTTTTAAAAAAACGTACATATTTGAATTTGAAACTTAAGTTAAACAATTCATAAACAAATTAGTTATATAAAAAAAAATTGATTTTTAGGTTGATATGTTTATTTTGCCTGAAGTATAAAATCTTGTTTCCGTAATATAAAAAATAATAATATTATATATTGAATTACTTTTGTAAGAGAAAATAAAATATAAATATTATATGTATTAAAATTTATGCAAAAAAAAAATAAAAATTGATTGGCTAACAAACCTTTTTATCAAAATGAATTACAATCAATTGGTGTGCTTATTTTGTGGATTAAGAGTATTTGTTTTATAAAATAGTTTGAATGAGTTTTTTTTTTATGAAATATATAAAATTATATAGGTAATATAAACATAATTAATGTGTATAGTATATTAATTTAATTTTTTTTAAAAAAATATGTTAATTTTTTTTCATAAAAAGAATACACATGTATTTTTATTTTTACTTTATAAAATTTTTATCAATATAAAATAATTAAATGAATACACCCAATGATCCAATACAATCAATACATATCTCATGTTATAAAAAATAAAATTATTTAGATATTATTAATATAATATAATATAATATAATATAATATATGGTGATTAAAATAAATAATAACTTGTTCATTCATCCATCCAAAGAAAAAAATATTAATACATATTTTTTCGATTAATATTATAAAAAATTTATTATATCTATAATTCACGCAATAAAAAAATAAAAAATTCGATATAAAATATATTTTTTTATATTATAAACATTTTTTTAAAAATTTGTGTATACTTTTAGACGTATTTTTTATTTTAATAAATAATATTCTTTTTCTCTTAATTTATTTTTTTTTTTTTTCCGTTTGTCTCACTTAAAATTATTATTCCTTTTGTCATACAAATGCATTTCCATTTGATTGGACACAAATTTTAATAAAAATAAGTAATAATTGTTACATTTTCTTTTTTATGAAAAAAAAATTATAAAAATATAATATTTTTTTATTTAAAAAGAAAATAAGATTACTTTTTTTTATGACAAAGTGAACGTAAATTTGAATTACTAATGAAGTACTTTCTAAGTATAATAAAAATAATTATATATAAATACCAAAATATTCTTATTTTTTTTAAAAAAAATATTTTTTTATTTATTTGTAAAAAAATATATATCAAAATTATCTTATAATTTAAATCATCAATTAAATAATATTATTATTTTTTAAATCTACTACCAAAAAAATAAATGGTACGTCGTTGACTATTTGTTGAATTTTTTTGTTCTACCACACGAAACAATTGATTTTCATTCTGAAATTAATTCAATTTATTTGTAATTTTACTTTCTATTATCATTTTTCTAAAATTTTTATTTGTTATGATAGTATATTATAAAAGTTTGTTTAGAGATTTTGATTTAAATAATAAAAAATTGAATTTAAAAAATTATTTGATATTTCATTAACAAAATTGAAATAATATTTCTTAAAATATAAAATTAATTTTTTAATATAACATAAAAGCAAAATTTAGTATTTAACTTAATATTTATAAATATATATTTTTTTTTATAAATAATAAAAATAAAAATAAATCACTCAAACAATCACACTGAAACTAGATATATAGATCATAAAGAAACACAACTTTAAATTTAGGAAACTTAAATTTGTGTTTGTTCCAAAATTTGAATTTTGAATTGGGATTTGAACCGTAAAAATTTTGAATAAATGTTGATGTGATGTTTTAATGTAAAATTAATTTTAAAAATAATATAAAAAATGAAAAATAGGTGTTTGATATGATATTTCGTAAGGATAAAATTTGAATGAATAGTGGATTTTTGGCAAAATACCTCAAACAAACACACCCTAAGATCACTTGTTAATATGCCCAAAGATGAGGGGGTTTTCTGCAAAAACACCAGGCACTGTGTATGTGATATTCTGCACATAATAAATAGGCAAGGGGTTGATCAATGGCTGCTTGCGCCTAGCCCTGTAGAGACGATACTCTGTACCTATGGAGTCTCCATTTTTTGCTTAGAAGTTAATCGTTTCTCCCGATTATCGCACAATTGATTAATAAAATTGTTCTTTTGGGGTTAGGAGGTGCGGATCCGTGCTGAATTCGAAGCGATTGCAAAAATCGCTGCTCCCGAATATTAGGGTTTCCCACCTGTGTTCATTGCCGCCGCTATCGATACATACATCAATATATACTACTTCTGTTATTAATAAATTTCTGATCTGTAGAGATTTCGTGTAATTTTGATCATACCTCACAGAAGGAAGATCATTTCTTCTGTTATTTTTATATATTGGAAATCGGTCGTTTTCGGTTTTTTGTCCGTCCGGCAATTGGGCGTTTTTTTTGGTGTCAATTGTTGTGGAGTGGGATCGAGGACTAAGGTTTCCTTGGCTGTTAATCTGAAAAAAAAAAAGAAAAAAAAAAAATTGTTTGTGATTTAGTGAAGGGGGTGTTTGTTGCGGTTGTGCTAAGGCATTTGTGAGTATGGATAAGAAGAAGGCTGTGGTTCCATTGGTTTGCCATGGGCATTCACGTCCAGTTGTTGATTTGTTCTACAGCCCTATTACTCCTGATGGCTTCTTCCTCGTTAGCGCGAGCAAGGGTAATAATGCTTTGTAATGTTGCTATGCCAGTGGTGATGTTAGTTGTTTTGATGATATTGTTTGCTTCACATATTCATAATTGCAAGCATTTTGATCAGAGTTTTAAGTTTGATGTTCTGATGTAGTTGTTTTATTCGTTGTAGTTAGATGATGTGTATGTGACTGAAAATGTGTCTATGGGGTTTGGAGACTTGGTCAATATCTGAAGACATAAAAATGCTTTCAACACCTTAAAACTTTAGTTCCAGGCAATGTGATTTTTTTCAGTTTTCGATTTATCGGGATGCTTGGGAGTTGGGAGGGGTAGAGTGTCGCCATCTTTGACGTTGGTGTTAGCTTTGAAATTTGAAAAAGGTGCTGTGATAAGTAATCTTAGTTGTTATACAAGTATGATGGTGGAAGATGGTTTAATCTCGAGCAACTTATGTATATTTTCGAATGGTGGTGCTGCGAAAGAATACTGGTAGGTAGATATAAATATTATGTGATGAAGGTGATTATTGACTGCACATACTTACATTTTGCTCCATGGCGCCATTTGATATTGCAACAGCACACTATTTAGTTTTATTTATTAGGGTAAAATGGTTAATTAGAATTAATTAGGGTGTGACCGGTGTGTGCTGTTTTGTATTTCTTTTGTTTGTTTGTTTCCTTAGTTAAATAAGGATATGGAAAGTTCTAGTTTATAGTACTTCTAAGTTTCTCTGGCATCCGTCTTCCCGTTTTTTTCCTATCTTGTTTTTTTTGTCTCTCAGAGGGGTCTTCTGCCAGGTAAGGTGGCCTGCAGCCGTATTTCGATTTTTTTTTTAGTTTGGGGTATGTGTAAGATCTTCATAACCTGTTTTATACTTTTATTTCCTTTTATACTTATGTCTTATATTTTATAGTGTGCGTATTGAAGTTAATCTTGTTCGATCTTATACTTACTATGTTTTATACAATACATCCAGACTGGCGCCAACAAGTTTATTTTTTTATTTTTTTATTCTCAATTAGTATATCAAAGTTACTTTTTAAGTTTTATGTGTTACACATTTTCTTACTTATAAGATGCTTAAATGATTATTTTTTATTATTGACTGTTTTCTTTCTCGCATTGAATTTTAGAACCAATTCAATGGTGGCTTTCCATGTGCCACTGATTGGAAACACAGATTTCAAACTCTCTAAACACTAGTTAGTTCTTGCAAGCATGATGTGGATGTGTATGACACTTGTCTTTCACAAAGTAATGTATTGGTTGTTCAGGGTTTATATTGAGTTGATAGCAACTTTAGTCTTATTCTGGGTTCGCCGTTCTATGTTTTTCTAAATTGTTTGTGTTTGATATGTATAGTCATGTCAAAAGTTTATGATGAAACTCGATTCTCTACGGTAGTAATGGATTGTTAGTTCCTGATGTATACTCTTCTCAATTTCAAAAAAGTTAAAATTTTAATCAAAAAGATGCTTAAGCCAAGTCTTTATTTGCATTTACATCCCTTTGCAGACTCGACACCAATGTTGAGAAATGGAGAGACTGGAGATTGGATTGGAACCTTTCAAGGGCATAAAGGTGCGGTGTGGAGTTGTTGCTTGGATAAACATGCACTGCATGCCGCGTCTGCGTCTGCTGATTTTTCTGCGTATGTGATCCATTCTATGTCTTTTCTGTTATTTTTCTGATTAAACAACGAAAGTGACATTAATCATTGCAGGAAATTATGGGATGCATTAACTGGGGACGAGTTGCATTCATTTGAACACAAGCACATAGTTCGATCTTGTGCTTTTTCAGAGGTATATTATACCAATGCCTCATCATCGTACCGTTAACTATTCCATTGATGCCTTATACTCCTTGTATATGCCTGTTAAACTTTCCTCACAATGTTTCATAAAAGATTTTTACGATAGATGTTATTCCATCAACTTGCAGGATACTCACCTGCTGTTAACAGGAGGAATGGAAAAACTACTCCGCATATATGATTTAAACCGGCCCGATGCACCTCCAAGGGAAGTTGAAAAATCTCCTGGTTCGGTTAGAACTCTTGCCTGGCTCCACAGCGATCAAACAATCTTAGGCTCTTGTACCGACACGGGTGGGGTGAGGTACGTCGCAACTGCAAAGAAATTAACATCATATCCTTTGTTGTATTTACACTTATAAGCAACGCCTGATTCCGATTTCGACAGGTTATGGGACGTGAGAACCGGCACAATCGTCCGTACCCTAGAGACAAAGTCTTCTGTAACCAGCACTGAAGTGAGTCGAGACGGCCGTTACATAACGACTGCTGACGGGAAAAGCGTTAAGTTTTGGGACGCAAATCAGTATGTCTTCTACTTGCAATCAAATACTAATATGCTATCAAAGAAACCATTTTTGTTACTTCAGCATATGCTTAATAATTCTTTTTTCAAATAATTCTTCGAACAGTTTTGGATTGGTGAAAAGCTACGACATGCCCTGCATTGTGGAATCGGCGTCGCTGGAGCCCAAGAACGGCGACAAGTTCATCGCCGGTGGAGAAGACATGTGGGTTCATGTCTACGATTTCCACACCGGAGCAGAAGTTGGTTAGTTGACTCCGGCCATTGCTTCTGCCGAGCTATTTTTTCGGACAATTTTTAATGCTTTTTTCCCGGGCGGGCGTCTTGCAGGTTGCAACAAGGGACACCATGGTCCAGTGCACTGTGTGAGGTTCTCGCCGGGAGGTGAATCCTACGCCTCGGGATCTGAAGATGGGACCATCAGAATATGGCAGATGGGCCCCCCGGTGAAAGATCCGGAGACTTCTAGAGGTGGGGGGCCTACTACTACTATTCCTACTCCTATTGAGAACGTTAAAGCGGTGGCGGATGAGGTTGCTCGGCAGATTGGAAATGTCCGTATTGGCGGAGAAGACAAGATCACAACCAAGGCTGCGTAATATAGGTAAACAAAACGAGGTTTCTTGGTGCCACCCCTTGTGTTTTTGGCTGAAGTTTTTGACTGGACTGGCTCGCGGTCGGTCGGGTTGGTTGTAATGGAACGATGACCGGAGAGGTGAATTGTGTTTGTCCCTTTGTGATAACATAAGAAAGAAAGATGAGAGTTGATGAATCCCTTGTTTTATGTTGGGTCATTTTGGTGCTGCATCATCATCGTCATTTTGCTTTGGTTCTATTTTGTGTTGCAAAATTATGCTTGGAAGGAAAGGGAAGATCCGTTCAGTGGTATTTTACTGTGTTGCTTTGATCTCGCCACCCAGCACATATAATAATATAATGTACATTACAATATGTAATGATATAATTTTGTAGCTGAAGTATATTTTTATCAAAAAACTCGGTACAGAGTAACTATATTAATTCAAAATTTCTATTATTTTATTTTACTTATTTATTTATTTATTTTGATTGGAATGCACATCTCAAATTATATTTTATTGGTTAAAGGAATTTTGGCTTGGCTGGTACTTCTTTTTCACGAACTAATATCTTAATTATTATTTTTTTTCTTTTATTTTTATATGCAAAATTCATTATTTTACTCTTACTTTATTTATATTTTTGTCTGTACACAAGATAAAAGGACAAATTTGTCTACTAATAATTGAAAAAAATAGTTACTTAAAAAAAAAAAGTGTAAATATAAATGAGGACAATAGAAAATACACTGAGAGGGTGTACATTATTTATTTATTTGACAATTTTGGGTTCCACGGCTTTTATTTTTTTATGTTTTGTGAATTAATTGATCAAGATCTTGGATAATAAATTATTTATTTGACAAATTTGGGCTTTGATTTTTATATAATTAGTGAATCAAACCGATCGAGACCGTCTTGAATAATGTTGGTTGGAATATATTTTACTTTGAAACCAAATCTAATTAGATTATGATGGAAAATATCAAAATTGTATTTGATTGGACTTCATAGAAAAAGGGTAAACCATGATAATTCTCAAAACATAAATACATATTATTATTATTATTATTATTATTATTATTATTATTATTATTATCTTGTTCTTGTCTTGAAATATTGAAGATTTTCTTGGGATGTATTTTGGTGGTATAATAGTTCCTGTGTATAATAGTAGTTTTGCATCATATATATTCAGCCATTTTAGAAACCAAAAAAAATCAAAACTAAAACACAAAATCAACAAGAGAAAATCGAACTGTCAACAAAGAAACAAGATCGATTCAATTATCCAATCAACATATCAAATACTTTTCACAAAAAATAATGAATCGAACAAATGTACAAGAAGAAGAGAAGAAAAAAATTTAAAGAGTGGTAAGGCAATTGGTTTAGCATTCTAACCTCTAAGGCCAATACACTTGCAGATTCTCGAGTATCATGTTCCTGAGATCAACGACGCACTCGTTGGCTTCGTGAAAGTCTTCGATAGCAGCAGTCAGTTCCCGCCTAAATAGTCGCCATACTGATTCAATGAGTAAAGGCGAGCGAGTCGATCGTACCTTTCTTCAGTTTTTCGCAATCTGATTTCCGCTGTCCGCAGCTCTTCTTCGATTCTCCTCACTTTCTCGGCTCCGATCCGGTCGCATTCCTCCATAGCAATTTGGGAATTAATACTGTTGCGAGAAATCCTGCTGTTAAAATGGCGATGCGACGGACGTCGACATCGAGATTGATTTTTCGCAGAATCGAAAAAGGAAAAATCGAATTAAAAGGAATTAGCGATGAAATACAACTGAAAAGAGAGTGAAGAAAACTTGATGATGATGATCCGGAATCATCCATCACTCTCAAATCTCAATTATATTATCTGAATTTGAATATGGAAGGAATGGAATCAGTATGGTTTGCAATACTGTACTGCTGTATACGTTATACATATATTGAAATTAATTACAATATATATTTCTCATTTTCCACCTAAATTGTCCTTGTTTACATATAAAAATATATATATATAATTAATAAATATATTAGTAAAAATAATTATTATGAAAAATTATAAATATAAAATAATATTATTGTATTTTCTAGTTATTTCATAATTTATTTTATTATTAATTTAAATATGATATTTCATGAAATTTGTATGATATAAAAATATTATAAAATAATAAATAATAGGTATAAAAAAAACACAAAATAAATTGTAGAAAGTTAAATATATAGAAAAATAAAATAAATAAACAGACATTGAAATATATAGAAAATGATTTAACTCGCAATAGTTACTACTACATACAACTTTACAAATTTGAAGAAGCAATGCAGCAAAGGAACAAAAACTAGAGCATCGGGTTGGGTTGATTGAAATCAAACTTATGAATTAAATAATACAAACAAACAATAAATAGATCACAACTATCAAAATTGAAATAGAATAGAATGCTTGCTTGCTGCATCATCTCATCTCATCTCATCTCATCTCATCTATCCATCCTCTTCTTCTAATAATTTAATTTAATTTAATTCAACTTAGGAATAGGATGATGAATTACTCACCTCACTCACTCCTTCACTCCCTTCCCTAAATCTGATTTTGATTTCGACTTCGATGCGCAAACATCTAAAGGAAGCACGCCCTCTGCTCTGCTCTACTCACCCTAAAAAAGCCATAGCCGCCGCCGCCGCCGCCTCTCTTGTCTTGTCTATTGGCTTTGCACTTCTGATTTGAGCAAAAACCTTGAAATGAAGGGCGACATGGCGGCCAGCAGTGCTTTTGGGCATTCCTCGTGTGGAAGATGGCCACAACCAGATATTGCCACCACTCTCTGCACCACATTCCAACATCATTTTCATGAAATACATTAATAAAAATGTATGTGTATGGATGAATGGAGGGGGCTGACTTACAGAATTTACAAATTTAGAAGCCATGGTTTGAGCGTATTTAACAGGGACAAGGGCATCTTCTGCCCCCGCAATAACTAAAACTGGTAGCTCATCAATGGATCTCAGCAGCGACGCTGCATCCTCTGCTGATAGCACCGTTTCATATGAAAGTTTCCCAATTTCATGAAGTGCTTCATCCCAACCGTCTACATGCAATGGTGCCTGATGTAATAGTAGTAAAATATGATTTTGATCACCGACATCTTAATTGAGGCTCACAAGAAAGTAACTATTGGGAAGTAGAGACTGGATACCTTATATAGGCTTAACACTTCAGAGGTTAGCTTGGTTGGATCATACCAAGCACGCCGATTCACCACTTGAGTTATTTCTGTTCGAAGAAGGGGGCGCACCAAATGCTTCTTCCTGAGAGAAGTACGTAACAATATCCTCGCAAAGGAGGGGACCAATTCTCTTGATAAGCTAGTGTTTAGTAGTACAATCCCCTTTATTTCGAGCTGAGGAGACATGTCAAGAAATTTTCACTTAGCTAAGCAACCTTCAACGGCTAAGTTCTAAACAGAGAACAAAGACATTGAAAAAAATTAAAACATAAATTTAACCGTCCTTTCATCTAAAAATACGCAGGATCATGTATAAGTAGACAGCAAAGAAGAAACTGTCAGAGACACTAGATCGTAGTGCTTGCATATACAACTGGAAATTCTGTTAATCTTCTAGTGGCACTAACCCTATCAACCGAATCTTGATATCAATGCATCAGGTTATCAAATCTTTCTTAAGCTCTATTTTATGATTCAATAACAAAAATCAATATAGCTTTCTTAAACACCCTCCTAGGTTCTGCAAGAAGCAATTTAAAGCACGTATATATAATATTTAAACAGTATCCTTGCTAATTTCAACACCAACAGCAACTCACATTGATACCATTTTTTGATGACTGAACTTTTTGTGCAGCCTTCAGAGCAAGCAGTCCTCCATCATCATGCCCAACAATAATAACAGATGAAAATGCCATTTCCAAGCAAAATGAAATAAGCAGGTCCACCTGAAGAAACAAATCATGCCTTTTATGAGAATGTGGTGCATATCAAACTTAAAGTATATACATGAATCTTGATCCAACTATGATGGATAAAACCATATTCATTTCATGAATATCATATGATAAAACAATTGAGAATGACTTATGATGCAACTTAGATTCAGGTAATATGTATAAAGCATGATCAAACATACTGGTTTTAAGTTATTAGCAGAAGAGGGTTTCCAGCCATTCCTAATTCACAAAACACCAAAATAACACTACGCAAAACAAAATGGAAAGAGATCATTAATAACTGAGATAATAGCAATAGCTATTATTTCTCAATTAATCGCATAACATGACTGGCATGTCAATTTCTTTGTTCCCTAACAAAATCATATTATTTCTTTAACTAACAGAAAAAATTACGCTTTGGCATGGATCCATAGAACCCCCTCTCATATATACCTATAAATTTAAGCATAGGTCATAGACACTGACTTGAGCTTCAACTGCCAATGCAGCAGAGGAGATATTAATGGCATTAAAGTATATAACAGCATGAATTTTGGGTGTATTAAGCTATTAGCGATGGTGAAAATATATATATATAACTTATAAATCATAAATCTATAAAAAGTCACCTGACTGTCAATATTGTAAGGATTATTCAATTGATTTTCCTCCCAATCTTTCTGCCGTGGCCTTGATGTTAAACCCCACCCAGGCCTGTCAAAAACAGCTACAGCACAACCAGTTTGCCTTGCCAGAAGGCCCGTTATTTGTCGCCATGCGAAGACACCCCCTCCAAATCCATGGACTAAAACAATCCCCAATTGAGGGTTTGCCTCTAGATCTTGTTCCGGCGGTGGAGATCCCAGTTTGCACTGATCATCCTCCTCACAAGTCTCGTTTAAGCTCAAAATAGGGATATCTTCAGATAATGGTGACGCTGGGGAGCTGTCTAGGAGGGGCGTATAAAGTGGGGAGACGCTACTGTGGAATTGGTTGCTGATACTCCTATGTAAACTATATTGAGTTTTCTGTGGTATGCTTAGTGAAAACTTGTCAAAACAAGTTGTGGATGACAAAGAACGGTAAGGAGAAGGCATGGCTATCTTGTAATGAACCGTTAACCCTTGGCAGGAAATAAATAAGCTGTCTACATCAGCAAGTAAACTTATTGGAACTTCCTCATCACCAGGCAGCGACCCTGGTGTTTTTCTCCTTGTTTCATTGTCACGTCTGAAAGACTTCCCAGCAGATGGTGTTGGGGATCGTGGAACTTTTTGATAACTAGAGAAAACCGTTTTTCCTGAAAGAACCTGATATACAGAAAACATTAACAATAATTTATAAGCACTATGCAACATATTAATCGAACATTCCTAAATGGCCAAACTGAACAAAGATGGTACTTGTTTGCAGAAGAGAATATAAGTTTCACAAACTCACCGATTCTGGATCTACACGGTGGAAAATAAGTTTCCTCCTCGCCTTGCAACTTGTTCGATAGGCCACAACAATGTGTCCCAAAGCAAAGACTACAGACGAGAGAAATAAGACCGGCATTCCCCAAGACTTCTTTAGATGGAGCCTCCTCCTTGAGAGGGAAGTCGAAGCTTCAGCCTCAAGCTGGGAATTGAATGTGAAAACACAAGCCTTTATGGAAAGAAGCAGGGTCGAAACAAAAGAGCAGAATGTTACAGTTCCTAGATAGGGCCCATGAGACAGTGCTTGTCCATTGCACAAAAAATATACACCTGTTATCATCCAACAAATCCACAACACGAAAGATTAATGTTCACAGTTCCAAGAAAGTCTTCAGAAATGAAAGCACAATAGCTGCACAAACATGTCAAGACTCAATTATCACCATCTTTTTAACTGAATATCATCAGATACAAGCTTGTTCAACCCAAACTAACAAAGTCACATCGAATTCAACCTTTAAACTTTGTATCTATATATATATAAGTATATCTTCATAGTAAAATTCTTATCATCACTTTTACCACACCATGGCCAAAAACAGATAATTATAACAACAATTAGCAGAGCAATACCGAAAAACAATAGAAAAAGGATTCAAATCGCCATTTTGTGAGCAAAAGTTGCACAATTCTATACCTAGCTCACCAAAAGATATATAATAAGAAGATCAGAAAACATACAGGTGATTATGAGGGATCTTAGGATGGAAATAACCGGAATGTCCATGAGCGAGCTCTTGAAAGCGTATCTCCGCAAATGCTCCCTAAATGTGTAACATTTTACACACGTAAAGCTCGGAATCAACAAGCAAGGCAAAAGGATGTCAATTATCGGTACCACGACCGGTAAAGACACCACCAAAAGCGACGCCACCATCACAACCATGAAATAAACCGTCCGTACACCCCTCCGCACCTTCTCCCACCACCAACCACCCTTCACCATCATCATCTCGCCACTTTATCCACCCGATAATCAAATCAAATCAAAAATCAAAAACAAAAAAAATCGGAGGACTCAATACAATTTTCCTCGTTTTTGTTTTACTTTTTCAAGTAGGGTCACGAACAATGCGGCAGTTGAAGAATACCATAACCGTCTCTGACAATCGATAAGAAACGTCTGCCGGATCAGACTTCAACTTAACGGCCATGTCCCGCCGTCGAAATCCACGGCCGGCGATCCCGCGTTAACGCCACGAACACCGCACCGCGCCGCGCTTGAATCGAATCAACAAAAAAAAAACAAAAAAAAATCAAAATCAAAATCAACCCAAACGCCGTCTCAAATCCCAATTTCCTCAATCAATCTGAAATCAATACATACACAAAATTAAAAAAACAAAACAAAACATGAAAAAACCTACCAGCAGCAACAGAATTGGAATCTCGTCCGTTTCTCCTCGTCGTCGAATTTCTCTGGTATTTCTCCTCCTCCCTTGTGTTCCTTCCGGTTTTCGGGCGTGAGAAAGAAAGGCAGGCGAGAGAGATTCCACAGGTCTTTTCTTGGGAGTTCAAAATGAGAGGCTACTTTTATCAGAGCGCGTGAGATCATCCACTCCTCTCAGCGCGTGGCGTAGATTTTTACGAGCGCGTGTTTCAAGGCCGTACCAAGCGCGTGGGTAGAAATTTCAAGGTTGATTTTCTTTCGTTCCCATAGATGTCAATTATATTATATAAAAATATAAATATAAATCAATATTATATGAATCGTTCATAAATTTAAAATATTTTAAATAATTTTCTAGTTTATAAGAATATTTATAACTTATAAGACAATTTTTATTTACATTTAAGTATGTAACTTATAAGACAATTTTTATTTACATTTAAGTATGTTTAGACATATATATCATAAATTGCAATACCTTAAATAAGTTTCCCATAGATATAACTATAGTTAAGTAATACTTCAGATATTATGACAATTTTTATTTAAATTAAAGTATATATAAATATATTATATGAATCATTTATAGATTACAACACCTTAATTAATTTTTCTTATTGACATAAATAATTATGTGTAACCTAACTTACAATTAAATCGTATATAAAATTCAACTTTTAATTATAATTCCAATTTACAACTATATATTAGGGTAAACATTGATTTGCAAATATATATATATATATATAACAAATTTATAAATTTCAATTTAGCTTTGAGTATGATTTTTAATTTTTAATTTTGGTTAACTCAAATAATCGTACTTAAAAGAAATAAAAGAAATAATGTAATATTTCTTTTATTTTTAGTAAAAATACGTAAAGATATCCCGTATTTTATTTAATTTGGTAAACATTTTTATGTTAAATTAAAGTACATCAAAAAATATTCTTTTCGTCTATAGCTGATGCTGAATTGTAACTTGCATCTAATTATGCAAATTTTATAAATATATATATATATAATATCTAAAATATTATTTTTTTTAATAAAATAAATTAATAATTTATCAATCATATACTTGATTTTTGTAGAGACACTATTTAAAAAATAAAAATAAAAATAAAAATAAAAACTTTAAAATGAATAATTGATCAATTATTTATTATTTTTCATTTAAATAGAGTTATTTTAAGATATATAATTTTTTTTTATTGGTATAAACTTATATAATTAGGCGTGTTTTACAACCAGTTTTGAACAAGGAAGATATTTTGTGCATATTTTTTTTATAACGTGGAAATCGTCAACGGCTAACCGAAAAAACGTACCGGATAAACCTTCGATCGAACCTAATAGCTCGACAAGGAGTTTTACGCAATAAATAAAATATAAAATTTGTGTGTATTTTTACTAAAATACAAGGGTTATTGTGCAATTTACTCCAAAAATAAAAATTATATATTAGTATAATAAGAATCGATCAAAATTAAATATACCGTTTTCATTGTTCTAATGTTGAATACAAAGAGAATAATGACATAAATATAGAATATTTGTTGGGGGTTCAACTTCTCTTGTAAATTTCTTAGTTATTAGTATTTATTTGTTTATTTTGGTTTGTTATTGTTTGTATCAATTCATATAATGTATCGAAACAATTTTGAGACAACAACTATATATATATATTAATTTTATATTTATATAGCACATAATAAAACAATAATAATAATAATAATAATAATAATAATAATAATAATAATAAAATATTTGTCATTTATACACATTGAATTTATTATCGAAAGATAAATATATGGTGAATCATATTGTACATATATTGAATAAAATATATAAAAATTTTGTATATTATTTGAAATTAATTTAAATTTAAATTAAAATTTGATATTATATTTTAAGTTATTTCCACTTTATAAGTATATATTTATTTTCCGTACAAATTAATAAATATCGTATTTTAATAAAAATTGGTGATAATTTTATATGTAAATACTTATTTTACCCATATAATGTCTAAGTTATTGGAAGCACATTGATAAAACCGCGAGGTATTTGTACTATACAGTAGAATTCATATTTACTGCAATAAATGAATATTTTGTATTTAAATAATAAAAAATATATATACACTAATCAAATGGACAGAGTGATTATATTTTTATTTAACAATTTTATTGTTAAAAAAAATATATATATAGGATACATATTGAAATATATATTTTATTTGTCGGCCTATATTTCTTTATTTAATAAAAGTAACGAATATTAATAAAATGTTTCATGATTTTTTATAAAATTATTAAGATATTCTTTTCAATACATATTTGTATCGGATATTAATTAAGACCAATTTAGCAGCATATATTAATAATTTATACAATATTTTATATTAATATATTTTATTTGATAAGATCAATTGTAGCATGCATTATATCTGTATTATATTAATATATATTTTACATTGTCAATTTATATTTCATATGTTGTCGGTATATATTTAATATGTTGTCAGTGCTGATTAATTACGGCAACAACTATCCCTTATAATACGTGAGTGTTATTTTAGTTTATTAATTCAGACTGTGCTAACAATACATCGTATGCTAATAGACAACATATGATATTATTTCAAATAATACATCATCATATGGTCTTACATAGCACATGTAATAGTTGATTTTAGCATATGTAATACTCCCTCCGTCCCAAAGAGTTGTCTTGTTTTTACATTTTTGTTCGTCCCAAAACAATTGTCATATTTTCTTATTTAGTAATTGTGGTCCCCAATTTACAATAAAATTATTTCCTACTTTTCCATAACTACCCATCATTATTACTGTAATATACTTTTTAAAAATTTTTCGAACAGGAGGATAATTTAGTCTTTTACATTTTATTTTATACTCATTTTCAATTAAATGCTATTATTTTTTAATTTTCGTGCCAACTCCTAAACATCTTTTATGGGACGGATGAAGTAGTTAATTTTAGCATATGATATATTATTATAAATCACATTATAAGTATAAGCAACAATATATGACTTTATTTCAGACAGCACACACATTATGTACTGCTTGAAATAAAAGCATGCGATATCTAAATATTTTATTTATACTGATTGAAAAAATGAGTATAATGTTAATTTTCTAGCAACCCTCTCATGAACTATTATTTTCTTGAATAAGTGAAAATAATAAAAATATCTATAGATAACAAATTGAATGAAGTATTTTATTGATATATTATAAAATTAGGTAATATGATCTCATCATATTTTTATTATCACTAAAAAAAAAAAAAAAAAAAAAAAAAAAACCATCTTAATTATTAGTCGTATGCATAATTCAATGATTAGTATAATTATGAAAGTAATAATTGAGTTGATTGGCCAAGCTCTTATTTGTAACAAAGTTGCAAAAAATATATAGAATGTGTTCATTATATTTATTATGTAATTTCAATTTTCTTACAATATAATCTATGTATTTTGGATGAATTATTCTTTCTGTAAAAGAAAATTATTTATATCTAATATTTTTTTTTAGTCAAAACTTTCATAATTTTTTTTTATTATTATTAAAAACCAAATATGCATGTTTGAAACAACCAACACACCAAAAATCATTTCAAATATTGTAATATAAAGATATTTAGTGTGTTTATCCTTAAAAAAAAATTGACATATTTTTAGAGTAATATTCTTTCAGTCCCACTAAAATGTACTTTTTTTTAAAAAAAATTTAATAGATTAAAAAATAATACTCCCCAATATTTATATATCAATTTAGTTTTTTCACGCAGTTTTAGAAATATTAGTATTATATTAGGATAAAGTAGAAATAAAGGTAAAAAGACTAAATTGACCCTATTAGTATTATATGATATAAAGACAATGAGATTTGTGTAATATATTGTAAATTGCAATGATATTTGTAATGTTTGATAGACAATACAATTACTAAAAAAAAATAGATACTTTGTTATATGACGGACCAAAATAAAAAATGAATAAATTGTTAAGGGACAAAGAGAGTAATATTTTATCAATTAGTAATAGTGTGTAAAAGATTTTAATTTGTTTTATTTAACTTTATATACGAAGTAATTGTATTTATAATGATATATTTATAATTAAAATAAAATTAAAAATATTTTGTTATTAGTATATAATTATTTAATTGTTTTATATTTTACAAATATTGCATAATATTTTAAAAAGATAAAAGAAAATATTGTAGATATTTGGGACGAACATGGTATTATTCATATTGTGTATAATTTATAATATTCTTTTACTTTATGTATATATAAATATATTAGTAGTTTATTTGTATGTAATTTCAAACGGCGTATTATTATTATTATTATTATTTTTTATTTTTTATTTTTTATTTTTTAAGGTAGATATTTAATTCTTTAATTTTTAAAAAGCTGAACTTTTTGCATGCCGGGCAGCTTTTTATTTTATTTTTTGTTTTGGACGCATATGCCCCCATCTATCTCATCTTTTGTTCATTCCAAGATAAAATGGAAAGCTTACGAAAAGACAACAATACCCCTGAATAGACTATGGTGGAGGTCAATACCACCATGCTAACTACAGCTATGACGCCTTCGAATTTATATTTACTTTAAAAAATATATATATATATCATTAAAAAAATATTTTTATTTTTATTTTTATTTTTTAAAAAAATATATTTTTTTGTATTTTTTACTATAAAAAACAAAAAATTCTAATTATTACTTATTTTTATTAAAATTCGTTCTCAATTATTTGAACACAAAATTCACGGACGAGGGTATATGATACATGTAGATATTATATAATTACTTAAAAGTACTAAATTATTTAAATTTTTTTGTGTAAATAGGAGTTTTATAATTTTTAAATTTAAAAAATATTAAAATAGTGAAAAATGAAATATTTTATTTTTACATAATAAAATAATTATATAATACTCCCTCAATCTCATAACTATGTATCAATTTGCTTTTTGCACATAGTTTTAGAAATATTAGTATTATATTGGGATATAGTAAAAATGAAGTAGAAATGACTAAAATGACCTTTTTAGTATTATATGATATAAAGGTAATGATA